CCGATCCGTCCCGGAAACACAATCCATCCTGCACATACGCAAACACAATAATAAAACTAGGTAATAACGGTACTGAAAATACTTATTTATATACTTAAAACATTAAAGAATGTTAAACTACATTCTATAGAAAATATTGAAGACGTTTTACATTCTCTCCAATCTTTTGCGTGACATCATCATCGGACATGCTCAGAGCAGTCAGAGTAACGTTCCAAAGGATGTTTAAGTGTTTTGCTTTTTTTCGTGTTTAGAATGTGCAATATTTATGCAAATACAAAAATATTTAAAAGGAAACCCCGCCGGAAAAAGAAAAAGGAATAAAAAGTAAGAAAAACAAAGTAATGCCTACCTGGAAGTTATTCTGTTCACGCATGCGCAGGATTGATCGGTCAGTGACACCCATGGATAATCACTACTTTTCAAGGTGCATTGTGGGAAATTTTGAGTCCACTATTAGACGTTTGGACAATTGGAGGTTTGTACCTTGCCGATCCGAGCCGAGGCGATTTTAACGCGGGTCTCTTGCTGAGTAGTCTGACCTGGGTCAGTGAGCCATTCCCACTGCCACTAAAAGCCCTTTGTTCCTGGGTTTAAAGGTTGTTTTTTCCCCCCTGAGGGAACGGGGTATAAGCCTGACAGCACACAGTTCACTGATGTCCCCACCCGGATCCCTCTGACGCGTTTCCCTCTATGTCCCCCCAGATATCTGTCTCCAGAACAAGAAAAGCGGCAGCTGCAAGACCTTCACCTTCATGTGGTTCTATGACAGCAAGAACGCTCGATGCACCCGCTTCCTCTACAGCGGCTGTGGAGGCAACCAGAACCGCTTCAAGACCAGGGAGGAGTGTGAGGACACGTGTCTCAGGAAGACGTTAGCTGGAGACGTTTAATGCTGTTTGAGAAGCCAAGTATTATCATGAGTCCACGGAGCTGGACCACAACCACAGAATCCCAGATTTCAGCAGGACTTTCTCTACTTTTACTGCAGCTACAAAAATGTCCTGTATTTCCAAGGAAGTTGTTGATTTTTCTTATGCTAACTTCCCCAATGTTTGATCTCTCATCATCCAAACCAACATTAGTTTCCATAAAATGATTTCAGCTAAAGATTTTCTTATATTGTTGAGACGGGATGAACAAAGCCTTTGTGTCGATGTGCAAGATTCAGATTATGTTGATCAGAATTCAGTTTTAAATGATTTTTTCCAAATGACTGCATGAATTTGTTTCTACTGTATCTGGAGCAAAGAGCCGCCTAAAGCCGGACCTAAACTGGGGGATTTTGTCAATCAATGCACGCAGCTACAGCTCACACTGTACGACGAAACTGCCGGGTTTAAAAGTTCACAGCTGAGGATGTTTGTTCTCTGTGCGACCCGACGCTCTGATGCGATCTACCTGCTCACACAAAAACCATACGCCTGACTAGGCGCTGAGAGATGGCGCCGGTTGGACTGCTGCACATGTACAGTGGCGATATTCTTGGAAATCAGCTCGTAGCTCTGCTTCAACACCTGGATTTGATCACCAACATCTCACGAGGACCCAATGAAATTCAAACATGTTTGATTTTCTCCTGACCTTACCATTCCTGATGGGGAGGGGGTCGTTAGAGGCTGATCGCCCGTTGTTACCGTCTGGTCACCACATCACGCACAATAAGGCTGAAAGTCGGCCCCATCGAAAGATTCTCGCACGACTGGAAAATCGACCTGAAAAGGGAAAAGAATCATACAGCGTATGCCCGGCTAGAAAGAACTCACCCTTACTGATCTTTCCCACATCGGGTCACATGTGACACTTCATCCAACAGACCAGCGACCAGCAGTTCACAGTTTAAGCCAAAAAACAAGAATTTATTGTTCCCTTTTTTTTAACCAATAAAATCTAAGAAATGTGAAACGTGTTTTTATTTTTGTCTTGATCCACTTTAACATCCTTGAATAAAACTGTGTTTTAACCAAAGTTTTTTAGACTCAGCTGGAGAAGAAACCACTGGATTGTTGGAGGCATCCAGGAAAGGAGCGGCCCCCATGTTACTGAGGATTATTATCCATAAAACATTTAGTCTAGAAGAGACCTGATTTCATTTAAGTCTAGTTATACGATGCTTTTTTCTGAAGAATTTCCAATGCTAAGCAAGAAAGGTGTCAAGTTCAAGTGGGAATTTACCATTAAGCAATACCAGGCAGTTACCTAGGGCCCCAAGTTCTTGGATTAAAGTCAGAATTCTAAGATTGGCCCTAATCCTCTTCCGTAGTATTTAATCACTTTTTATGACCTGATTATTTTATGTTGATGTGAAAAATAATTCTGCATTTGACCAAATTTAAATCTTTATTCCAAATGATTTTCTGAACATTTCAGTTGATGAACCAAACTAATTTACTTACTTTTAACTAAATTACCATGAATTAATGTTTGTATAGACACCAGTTGATTCATTTAAATATAACAAAATTATCATTTTAATATTTCATTTGACTTTACTACCCATCTTATAAATTCTATAAAAATAAAAAATACCTGGCCAAAGGATTACTTTAAATGTATTTATTAATTGTTAATATAGCCTTAAATAGTGTAAATCCAGGTGGTGTAAATTGGAGTTAACGAACCTCGGTAAGCGGTAGCAGTTAGCATCCGTCGCTAACACGCTCGCCACTACAGCCCTGCTGCTCTTTCTAACATGGAGGCTCCGGCTGCCGGTGACGGCGGGTTTCCAGCATTTAACGCTAAACTCCACACTGAACCTTCAAGCAACGATTGTTTAGCTCTGGATGGAGCGCGGTTGAACGAGCGAAGGCTTTTAGCTAGCTAACGTTATCAGTAAATGAATAAACCTGTTTTCTCAGACGTCAGCTAGCTAATATTAACTAGTTAACTAGCCAGATATAACTGAATTATATGCAGCTGCTTTGCTACTTATTTATTTATGCGCGAAATCCACGCAGGATGTAGAGACGATGAAAATGGTGCTCTATCACGGTCTGAGACTTGATCATGTGCGCTGACTGCAGCGTGCAAAGCGCGACTCACATGTGACCCAAACAAAAAATGACCTGCAAGTCATGAATAGATATTTATACGGAAGAGGATTAGGTTAACTGATATTTACATTTTTTTGGACTTTATTTTAATAGGACAAAACAATTTGACTTGCAGATTTCTGATTGCACCTTTAATGGAGTAAAAAGCTGAAGTTGATCCTCTAACTTCTGAAAAAATGTTTTTAAAACAGCAGGATGTAAACTTCTACTGGAGTAATAAACATTACTACTTTTGACACCTCTGTTCATTTATGTCATACAGAGAGAAATTCTTCACTGCAAAAAATGGAATCTAAATGAGTCATTTTTGCTTAAATTAAGTGCAATTTTTTCTTGAATTGAGGTAATTGAGATACTTTGCCAATGGAAC